CCTAAATTCAATCCACATTTGTGGATAATGAAATCGAAAAAGTGAAAACTGGTAACCATGTAGGGATTTTGATTTAGGGATTTTTACATATAGGGATTTTTTTTCTAAAGTACTATATATCAGACGCATTGCATTGCGAGTCATTCTTCTTCGCTTACGATACCCTATTATCTAGAATCAATATTTTGAACTTGCGAAAAATGTTGCTATATATCTAGTGACCAAAATGTATTTCGGATGTTAATGAAAAATTTCTTGGCGTCTAGCAACAGAAGCTTTTGTTTTCGGTAATTAGCCTTCGTAAATCATCTAATGCTACAACGGGTTTAGCCATCAAAAAATGGACACAGTTTTCCATTTTTTCTATAAATGTTGACTGGGCAAAAAATTGTTGAATTTTTCAATTAACATGAAGTGTAAAAGTTTACAAGTACTTTTTGAAACTAAATGGCAGTTGTGCGACTAGCATAAAAAGATCATTCTTTACAGCACAAAAAATGCTACCAATCGTACAATGCTAAAAGTTTATTTTTTATTTATTTAATATACCCTTACCTTTCAGTGTGTGGTGAAGATCAAAGTACAATGCACAGCAAAAAGAAGAAAAAAAGAAAACGCAAAAAAAAGAAACAGAAGAGGGGAACAAAGAAGGAAAGAAAAAAAAATGTTCATAAGTTTCTTGATATTCTTCAGTAGTTGTCGTGATTGATCGTCCACGAATACTCAGGACCACAGCTGTTTCTCCAAAAACATCTCCAAATCTTGCGGATTTGCTTTTGATAGTTTTCATCATAGCGCAGATGGTAGCTGGTATTCAGCTTTATCGTTAATTAGTTGCTCTATGTTCGAATGTTGTTTTGCTTGCACCAGGCCGTTGCACACGATCGTACATGATATGCTATGCCTTGAGGTTTAAAATGTTTCTTACATTTCGAACACGTGTAATCGTTGTTTTGAGTACGCTTTAAGACTTCACTTACTTTGCGCCAAGGTAGATGGTTGATATTCGTTTCTACACGTCGTTGAGCTGCGCGTTGTTTGTAATCTCGAACAACATTGATGATGTTAGATGCGGGCGGTTTTACATATGGATTCTTGTTTATTGTTTTTCTCCATTCATCGCGGTTCAGTGTTTCTTTCCTCCAGTTTCGGATTCCACATTTCGTGAAGTCGTCCATGATTTTATCTGGCCATTGCTTTTTGTTGCCAACACCACGGAGGCGTTTAGATTTCGGATAATAAGAGAACATGCTTTTTTTAACAATTGAAGGTAAACCATCGGAATTCTCCATTCTATTGACATGTCCAAACCACCGTAATCGATTGCGTCTAAGTATATCATCTAAATCTGGTTTCCCTGTGAGTTGTAGAAGTTTCTCATTTGAAACTCGATCATCCAAATTAACACCAATGATGGTTCTCAAACATTTCAAGTAAAAAACATTGAGTCTTCGTTCTTGAGCAATCGTTGTTGACCATATTTCACTTCCATATAAGAGGATTGGAATCACACATGCACGAAAAATCCATAATTTCGCTTGAATCGATACTGTTTTTCGGTACTAAATGATGTTACGAAGCATATTGAAGGCTTTGGTAGTTTTCGATATTCTCGTTTCGATTTCTTTCTCTGTCGTCTGGTCTCGCGAGACATGACAACCGAGATAGGAAAACTCATTCACGATTTCGATTTTTTTGTTACGAATGTTAATGTCAATATCTAAGTTGTCAACTTCAGTACCTTTCACAACTCTTCTTGTACCATCTTGTTCGAACTGCTGGAGTGACATGATGCAAGTTTTGCTAGTTTTCATAGTCAAGCCACATTCTTGTGTTACTTCTTCAAAAATATGAATGAAGATTTTGAGATCAGCTTTATTATTACACATGACAACCAGAACATCAGCGTACATCAGCACCAGAATATTGAAATTTATATAAGCCTCACCGTCAGGATGGAAGAAATCATTGCTACCATATGCTAACTCAATGCCATTAACACCAACCAGACCAGCTTTCTCAATGACTCGTCGAATAACAAAATCGAAGAAAACATTGAAGAGTATTGGGGAGGTGATGCCACCTTGTAATACTTCAGTTTCAATGTTGAAGCTAGAGGGCACTTCGCCGGTGATTCGCACTTGGGCTTTTGTGTTCGTATATGTTAGTTGAAGCATACGAATGATGTTATTCGATAATCCATAATGACGACAAATTTGCCAGAGAAGTGGACGGTGGATAGAGTCATATGCCTTTTGAATATCTATGAAACACATATGCATAGGTTTGTTGAGTTCATGTGTCTTTGCCATAATCATCTTCAGTGTAAAGATTTGATCAATTGTTGACAGTTTTGGTCTAAAACCAGCTTGTTCATCGAGGAGTCGTTTCTGAAGCACACTATGCACCCGATCTAGGATGATTCTGGAAAAACTTTGTTTGTAGCCGTTAGAAGCGAAATGCCTCGATAGTTATCACATATCGCTTCGTCGCCTTTGTTCTTGTATAAACGAATTAAGATAGCCGTTGTCCAATCATCGATTATTTCTTCATTATTCCATATGTCCACAAAAATTTCATGTAGCCATTTGACCATTGGAAATCCTTCTGCTTTAACCCTTTAACTGACGCCGACGTATATATACGTCATGAACTTTATTAGTGTACAAAACTAGCACAATCAATCATAATGCGCACTTTTTTAGATTCATCTGCATAGAAATAAGCATTAGACAGCTGAACCTTGTGGTACCATCATGTCATAACAGTGTGATCTAAAGTTGTGCCTTAGAAAAAAGTGTGTGAAATTAGAAATTATTCGAGACCTCATTTCAAAGTACGCCTCCAAGAGGTCACATATTGGCGTACCAGTGAGTGCTCATCCACTACGATTGACGGTCAGACACTTTCCGCCTTTAATTCCTCCAAATGAAAGCAACCACGCTCCCCAAAGAAGATGTTATGTTTGCAGCAATATTGAACGACGTGCGAAGGAACGAAGTGATACGCGCTACCAATGTACCATATGCGATGTTGGACTGTGTATCACGGATTGTTTCAAAGATTTCTATACCTCACAGAGGATTTAGCGTTATCTTGTATAAATCTGTAAAACTGGATCGAAAATAAATAGCTAGATGATTTTTGGTAGAGCTTTTTTTTCCACTCTTTGATGTCGACGGTTAAAGGGTTAATGATGTCGACGGAAATTTCATCGATCCCGGGTGCTTTTCCATTTTTCATTTTCTTTATGGCTTGTTCTACTTCAATAAGTGATGGTGTTACGCTTTGTCTAAGTTCTTCACTATTTCTGATGATATCAGGTGTAATCTGATGGATAATGTGAAAATTGACTTTTGTAGGAACGTTAAATAGATCTTGAAAATGTTCTTTCCATCAGATCAGTCTTTTCGGTGAAGATAACAGAAGTTGTCCATCGTTGCCTTGTATTGGAAAATGTTCAATATTCGCACGCCCACCTCGAAGACATCGGATTAATCTATAAGCAGCTGCTGGATCATTCTTCTTGATACCCATTTCGATGTCTTGGCTTCGTTCATCCCAATATTCCATTTTACGAGCTTGAATCTTCTTTTTTGCAAGTGTTCTTAGTGACCGGTACTTCTTGTGATAAATTCGTTCTGCTGTGGATCCTCGGTGATTTTGCCATTCAAGAAATGCTTGCGCTTTCTTTTCCACGACTTCAATGATTTCACCCGTGAGCCATTCTTTACGTTGCGTATCGTGGTGATCTTGTTGAAAAATGTCTACACTTGCCTTCTTGACGTATTCCACAAATTCGCAGTACCTGTCGTTTATGCATATTAGGTTATTGCTGGTTGCTGTTGGTCTTCTGTCCAGTTCTTTCTGAAATAGCTCGATGCGATTGATATCTTTCATTTTCTTTCTGTCCAGCCGTGATGGTCGCCGTTGATTAAGTTTTTTTCGACTTTTAAGATGGAATCGAAGTTTTGTTCGAAGGAGATGGTGATCTGTACCTATGGTAGCAGCTGCTGATCGATGAATACGAACATCTTCAACGCTTGATCTGAATTTCTTGCTAACGATGGTGTAATCGATCATATGCCATTTTTTTATTTCCAGGATGCATCCATGTCATTTTATGTATTGGTTTGTGTTCAAAGAATGTATTCGATATAACAAGATTGTTCATTGAACAGAAATCGGTTAAGCATTGACCGTTTTCATTTTTGCGATCTACTGCATGGGGACCACCTACGTTGCCACTTGTTTTATGTTGTTATTTGCCTACACGTGCATTAAAATCACCCATAAGTAGTAGTAAATCATTTGATGGAACTTTATTGACAGTTTGCTGGAGATCATCAAAGAAACTTTCCACTGCATTACTTCCATGCTGTTGACCATTTGGGTTCACAGGAGATTATACGGCAATTATTGTAACATTAACTCGATGTGCAATAAGTCGAACCAATAGAATTCGTTCACTGATAGCTTCCCATACGCTTCCACCGTTGTGCCATGCTATTTTTGCTTATTTATTTAAACATACTGCTACTCCATGAGCCAATCTTGTTTTGTTGTTGCTTGGTTTGCCTGAGTAGATCATAGTGTATTCACCAATGTTTTGAATGCCAGAATCATACAATCCCGTTTCGCTGAGTGCAGCCACCTGAATTCGATGTTTTTGGAGTTGTTTTATAATAAGTTCTTTCTTTGCTTGATGATAACACGATCGCACATTCCAACTACCAAAAAATGTTGTTTTAAGTGCATTGATGCACTGACTTTGACCTTGTTCGTTAGCCAGCTAGGTTTAACGTCTCCCTAACAGGTGGCTAGCCTGGTATTGAGACAATTAGCTACCAGCAGCCCAGGGGCGCCTCTCACCTCTGCATCGCAAAAGTGAGACCCTGTAGATGTCTAGGACATCCCTGACAGGCCGGAACTCAAGTTACAGACTTTGACATATAGGAAATGTTGTCGTTGCACTACTGCCTGAAAAAAAAGTACCTTGGTTATTCGTCATCTAATTGAGATTTATTTTTATACATACCACAAGTCAAAAGATACTTTTGAACTCTATAATTGTACGAATCCGTTATGATTAAATTACCGAACGTATCGAGTGTCATGTGGCTAGGAGTATGAATTTGATCTGAAGCACGGCCAGAACACCAGGAAAAGACTGTCGTACCAATTAGATTATTTCGAGCAAAGCGTTGTATTCGTTGATTACCATAATCGAGGACGTATAAGTTGCCTTCAGCATCAAGCGTTACAGTTTTCGGAAAATTTAAATGAATGTTAGATGATCCACTAACACCTGATGATTGCCCAGCTACTGTAGTGCCAACCAGTGAGCCAGCGAGATATTTTTGAACACGATGATTATGAGTGTCGGAGACGTATATTGTGCCTGATGAGTCGACAACCACACTCCATGGGAAACTTAATGTGTCTGCCGTTACGCCATACCATCCGCTACTGTTGCCAGCTACTGCAGTACCCGTCATTGATCCTGGAAAATATTTCAGGATTCTATTATTTCCAGAATCAGCAACGTAAATAATTGAAGTGGTTGGTTCAACATACATTCCATATGGAACATTCAGTTCGCGCAAAGCCGTTCCCATCTCGCCTAAAGTAAGTAAACATGTAACATCCACTTTATGGGAATATGAATAGTTTGTTGTGAATTTTCGCTAAAGATGGCGAAATGAATCTTAAGTTAGGGTGGCTCATGGGATCGTTAGAATGGTTCAATCAATTTTGTTTTTATTGTTGCTTGAAAAAAAAATGAAGATATTTCGCTCAATTTTTCAAAAGTCAGGATGATTCAAGCGATTCCAAAAGTAATGCAACTGATTTCCAAACTGACCAAAGTTGTTAAGAACATGTTTCTGCATAGGTATAAAAGCAATTTGTTTCCATGTTTATCGTTTGCAATTCTAAGCATTTAGTGAGTATGAATGAGATCGAGAATGATGGGAACCGTTTCCATCACTATCCTCTGTAGATTTGTCTCTTAAGATGTCGTTTCGAAAATGGCAGACCGATGCATTCTTAATATAAAATTTCTTTGAAAACTTGAAACGAGAAATACTGTAAATGCAGGTCGAATCGGACAAACTCATGATCAATATTCTCAAAAGAAAAAAATATTTTTCATATGATGGGGGCATATGAATTTGCGGCAAAATCACCTTCACGAAAAAAACAAACAATTTGTCGCAAACTCAATTATGCCCGTATACAGTGGTATAAGCAATATAACACATTCGAGAGATACATTTTCTATAGCCGTAAAAAACGGTATTAAAAATAATAAAGGTATAGTTCTTAACCACTATAGCGGTATAGCGGTATTAGCGGTATAAAGGATAATAGGGGTAGAGATCTTATACCACTATAGCGGTATTATCGGTATAGCGGTATAAGAAATAAGAGGGGTATGGGTCTTATACTACTATAGCGGTATAGTGGTATAAGATCCATACGCCCATTATTCCTTATACTGTTATACCGCTTCTACCACGATACCGCTATACCGCTATAGTGATATAAGACCCATACCCCTCTTATGCCTTATACCGCTATACCGCTTATATCACTAAACCGCTAATACCGCTATACCGCTATAGTGGTATAAGATTCATACCCGTATTATTCCTTATGCCGCTTATAC